GGGAGTGGTGGAGGGCCTCTATATCTTGTTTTTGCTAAATTATACCTTAAATTGACAATATAATATGTTTAGAAGAGATTGAATTTATTAAAAACCATTATATAATTACTAGTAATTATAGAGACTTTGATGCATACTAGTAATTATGTCTGGTAAAAACGTGCTGAAAATTGGCATAAAGAAACATAACTTCGTAATTTTATAATATATTACAAGATAAAATTCATTAAATTAACTTGTTTGAATTTTTAATTTCGTTTATTAAAATTCAACAACTTTTATTTACATGTGTAGGAGATGCGAAATGGATAGTCGGCACGCTTTTGTCCTGAGGATTTAGTACAGAGACGAACCACATCTACTTTCGACGATACGATTTTATCAATAGTGTTGGAAAGTGTATATATTATAGTCACGTAGTTGCCAAACTGAAAATGAGTGTACTGGCGGTAGTGTATGGACGATTTCAACAGTAAAGCCCCAGACACAATGCGAAGGAATAGCGATAGCGATAGAAATAACACGATTTCAACCTATCAGAAATCAGATACACTGGATTATACAGTTTCTGATAGGTTAAAATAGTGTTATTTCTATCGCTATCGCTATTCCTTCGCATTGTGTCTGGGGCTTAACAGGAAAAAAACCTGCATGACCTCTCTCAGGTTTCTCTCTGGTTTTTCTACCGTAGATCTTATTTCAACTAAGCACGCCTTGCAAGCATGAATCGTTATTATTGGACAATCTCCAATTCTATTTTAGTTAAACATGATGTTTAGGCATACGAAGTAGTATTTGACGATTTATATTTAAAACAGAGAGAAACAGAAGACCACATGTATTCTCGACGATACGATTTTATCGATAATGTTAAAAAAATATACAGGGTGTCCCGACCTTTTTTACCAATCACTTTTGTGTAGATAGAGCGGACTTAACTGAGTCGAAAAGTCCATTTTGTAATTTTCGCAATAGTTAACAAGATATTAATTACTAAAAATTGCAATTTATTGGTCTTGAATAATTTTTTACTCAAATACCATCAACTTTACAGAAAAACTGCGAGAGACAAAAACAATTTATTTTCTTCTCATAAAGTTCTGAGAATTTTTTCAGAATTTTTTCAGAATTTTTTAATACCATATTTTCTCACGTTGGTAAAAATAAGAAAATGCAGTACTTAAAAGTTGATAAAAAATTCTGAAAAAATTTTCAGAACTTTATGAGGAGATAATTAATAATTTTTGTCTCTTGCAGTTTTTCTATAAAGTTGATAGTATTTGAGTAAAAAATTATTCAAGACTAATATTTCGTAATTTTTAGTAATTAATATCTTGTTAA